CTCCCTTCCACTCTCTCTGAAAAGAAATGGAAAAAATATCCTCAAGTGAGAATTAAAAATAAATAGGATTTTAAAAAGAAGTACTTAGATACACATTGAATCTGAGTCCTCCATGGAATTATTAAGTGGCATGATATTCATGATAAGCACATCAGTGAAAAAAGGTGGTTACTTACAATATCATAATTTTTATAAAATAGGTAGATGTGTGTATTTACTTATATGCACTGACATCCACCAAAATGTATGATTACCTACAAGTGGTAAATTTATAAATCATTTGTTTTTCCTTTTTTGAATTAAAAAATTTGTATAGTTCATATGCATTACATACTAAAAAAAAAAAATCAAGTTTTCTTTTGAAAATGTCTCTCTTTACTCTCTACTACCCACCTACCAGGGGGCCTAGTAAACCAGGGGCAACTCATTTAGGTGAGAGGCCAAGTGTTTCATTTGCTACTTCAAAGAAAAAGTCTTATCCTTTTTAATGCTTCTTATTTCTGAGGTACTGGTTAAGGCCAGTCTCCGAGCCACTTCTAAAGGTCACTGTCTCTACATCAACTATACAGAACTAGAGAAGTGGCACAGAGGAGGAAGCAAAGGTCATGAGTAGATGTGAACTTTACTCTCCGCAAAGCTCCTTATAGATGTGAGATGAGCCCAAAAAAGCACATCTACTACAGCCTCTGCCTGCAGGTCTGAGTCAAGCACTCAAATAAGTGATGGGCAGGCACTTTCCCTTTCCGACAATAAACTGAGTACTTCCAAGGAGGACTCAACAGGGGAAAACTGCCTGGAAAGCATTGATAATACTTAGGATCTGTGGTTCCCGAACCCTGACCATGCTTTACAATTACCCCAAGAACACATTTTAAAAAAGCAAAAGACAGACTCCTGGGTCTCTCACCCTAGACCTACTGAATTAGAACCATATGGGTTGGGCCAAGGGATTTTTTAAAAAAAACTTCTCAAATGATTCTGAAGCAGACAACCCACATACCAGTATTCAGTAATCTTTTAACAACTGCTGGCTTGGAGGAACCAAGAAATACCTATTCCATCTCACTCCAATTAGACTGGCATCAAAGTAAGTCAAAAAATGAAAAGCCTCTAACATGATACCAAATCTCACCACTAAGAAGTTCATCCTTTCAACTTCACTAAATCCCCATCTTCTACGTTACAGTCCGTTCTCTTTTATTTGGTCCACAGTGGACCCTGGAAACAGATCTCTGTTAAAATGTGTGATTACACTGGAGGATGGAAATGCACTACAATAAAACAAAAACATCATCTCCTACCCAGTGTGTGGCCAGCCCTGAAGCCACAGAGTACCATACTGAGCTGGGGCACCCTGGGGGGCAGCTGAACACAATGGAGCACAGCAAACACCCTGCCAAGGGATGATACCTATCATCACACATTTAGACCAATGTTCTGTGCAAGATCTTTTTATCTGTGAACTTGCTTCCTGAACAGGAAAAATCAAATGCTTCCCAGGGATATTTTCAGGTGGTATCTCAGGCTGTGATTCAACACAATCATGAAATCTCAATATTTTCTATCCAGTGGGTTTCTTCTGGAACCTATGGTACTAAGACTATGCCTTAACAGAGATAGTCACTAAGGCTCTGACCCCTCAGTGTCATGGAGTCACTGATTTCCTAAGTCCCATACTCCTATTTAGTCACAAAGAGTTAAAATCCTTTTCCTATTGTGGTAGTTTTAAAACATGGCCCCCCAAGTTCTGATACTCTTCTCATCCAGAAGTGGGGTTCTCGACACTGTTAAATACACTAAAAGCCACTGAATTGTAGGCTTAAAAATGACTTAAGCTGTGAATTTTACCTGAATTTTAAAAAAAGTGCAATTCTCTCTCTCTTCCTTTTGAATCTGGACTCTGTGCCCGCTTGACCTGTAGAATAGGGCAGAAGCAATGCTGCGCTGATTTCTGGGCCCAGGCTTTAAGAAACTAGTAGCTACTTCCATCCCCTGCCTTCTAGGATACTCACTCTCGGAACCCAGATGCCATACCATGAGGATGTGTAAGCAGTCTTTGTACAGGTTAACTAAGAGAGGAGCTGAGGTTTCCAAGCCTGATTAGTTCCCAGCTAACAGTCAACAATACTTACCAGCGGTGTGAGGGAGCCACCTTGTAAGTGGATTCTCCAGCCCCTGCAGAGCTGCCTCAGCCATAGCTATGTGGAGCAAATTCTCCCTGCCAAGCCCCACCTAAACTGCAGATTCATGAGCAAAATTAATGCCCATAGGTGTTTAAGCCACTAAGTTTTGTGAGGGTTTGTTATGCAGCAACAGAGAACTGGCACTTGAATATAATAAAGAGCAGTTGGTAAAAAATGACTTCAGAAAATTCTCTAACCTGGTATCATAAATCACAGTAGATTCTGACAAACATAATCTTTAGCACCAAAGAATTCATCCACGCATGTTCTTCACAACTCAACTGAGTCACAATTTTCTAACATGCTCGCTCAAAACTATGCCACAGAGTGAAAAAGAAGGTCAGGCTTCCTTGCTAAAAAGTTTTTTTAAAGGGAGAAAAAAGGCAAGAAAGCTACCAGGGTACAAAATCTTGTAAGCTATCAAATAACAACAATCATGGATAGCTCTTAATGCTTAGAAAAAGCAACTTGAGGTGATGTTTTCCACACCACCCTCTTGCTTGGCCCAAAGTAGCAAGGAGCTTCAACTCTGTTCTCTCCTTACCTCCAGCCTCTCAGGCAGGGGCTCATTCTGCAGGATCCTCAAAGCTTTCGCAGCAGCATCGTGTTTTGCAGCCTGTCTTGTCTTTCCTTTCCCATTAAATTGCTGTCCTCCCACAGAAAGTTCAACTTGATACAGTAAGGGTGGTACTGGAAATGGGTAAAAGTACCTAAAAATAAAAAGGAGTGAAGAAAATTACAGTCTCAAATCAGTAAGTCACCCATACATTCTCTGGCAAATTCCAAGTACTTCATTATGGGTCTTAATTGCATTAGTGTTTGCTTGCCAATGAGGACTCCTCATCATATATGCATAGCAAATTTATTCAGGATTAGAATTGTCACAGTATTTACAAAATCTAAAATGAATTAAGTTTTGACTGAATCAGAAAACTTGCTCTACTTTCTCATATCTGAGAGTCATACTTGTGTGTCTCCACAGAAGGCTGGGAATTTTTAAACAGAAGTCTTTTCAAAAGGATCCTCATTTCTGGGAATCCCAAAAGCCTGTAGCCTGGCAAAAGCCAGCTATAAACTTCAGAGTTTGTATTTTTTAAATGGCTTTGGTCCCCTCAAAGTAGGGCAGGAAAATGAAAACTACCAATTTTGATCAACACTCTATCCACTAATGTCTTATGACTGACAGTAGAAGCTTTTTTAGCACAAGGCATTTTCAGGTTTCAGTGAGTATTGTTCTACACCTGTACGCCAAGGCTATTTTCAAAACACAACAGTTCAAATGTCAAAAAGTACCCAGTAAATAATAATCAGGAAATCAATGAATGCTGAGAATCCCAGTATTGTAGGAATCATAAAATGTGACTCAGTTAAACAAAGCAGTTACAAGGGCAATCTTTAACCAGACTGCTTGGGGGCATGTGGTGAGGAACATGATCAGGCCCTTTCCAAGGACAGGAGATAGAAGAGCATCAAGAGACACTCCAAAGATACCAACACAATGAAGACTTGACATCTGGCAGGCCAAAGATGACCAAATCATCATGTGCCCCACAATCTCCAGATTTCATTATTATGTGTAAAAGATCAGATAAATTTTCACCTGTATTTAAAATACACACATACCTTGGGGGATAAGCACCTCCTCTCATGTTGTAGCTGTAGGTGGACGGCATCCGAGAATAAGGGTCAACAGGCTTATACATTGGTTTTTTTCCAAGTTTCATGCACAGTGCATTTAGCTCTACAGTAGGGGTTATGCTGTCTGCAACACAGAATTAACACAAGAACTGGTTGTATTCTTTTTCTGACATGAAAATGACAGTCACTAAAATACAAAAGAACAGCATGCTTTCTACTAATTGGATTCATGATACAGTTCATGAAAGGGTCCTACATACGTCACTGCTAGGCATCAGGTGAGGAAATCCAAGAACCTGCCGTGCTCTCTAGATATTAATACGCAGTCAACGGCATAAAATGTACTCTAAGGGCTACTAGAGGGAGCAACAATTTAACACAGTATGTTATCAGTGAAAGCCACATATTCCAGTTGTCAGAAATAAATTCATATATATATACACACACACACACACACATATATATATATATACACATATCAACTTCCATAATTAAAAAATCCCAGGTGAGCCCTGGCTGGGTGGCTCAGTTGGTTGGAGCATCATCCCATATGCCAAAAAAGGTTTCGGGTTTGATTCCCAGTCAGGACACATACCTAGATTTCAGGTTCAATCCTGTTCAGAGCTCATATGGGAGGCAGCCAATTGATGCTTCTCTCTCACACTGACGTGTTTCTTTCTCCTCTTTCTCCCTCTCTCCCTCTCTCTCTCTCTCTTTCCCTTTCTTCCTATCTAAAATCAATAAAAACATATCCCTGGGCCCTGGCCGGTGTTGCTCAGTGGTTAGAGCATCGGCCCACACATGGAAGGGTTGCTGATTCCATTCAGAGTGTGGGAGGCAACCAGTCAATGTGTCTTTCTCACATCGATATTTCTCTCCCCTACCCCATCCTTCCACTCTCTCTGACAAACAATGGAAAAAATATCCTGAGGTGAGGATTAACAAAAATAAAACAAAACAAAAAAAACCATATCCTTGGGTGAGGGAGAAAAAAAGATCTCATGTGACTGCCCAAATCATTTTATTGTTTGGGAACACTTAACCGATATAACTCTGGTTGTACTGACTTACTGGGTTATTGGCTTACACTTAGAAGTATGTTTGTACACGCTATTTCATAGAACAATGCATTTATTAAGTACTAACTGTGCTAAGTTTGAGGGGGACAACTCTTGCCCCAAAGGAGCTCAAAGAACACAAAATACACTCAAAGAACTACAACAGGATGTTATAAAAGCAGGTGTAGAATCACTGAGGAGAAGGCAAGTAAATTCTATGTGGAGTTGTTAGATGATACCCACAAAATATTCAGGTATTTCCATTCTCACTATTTATAATGGGATTTGACTAATCAATCATGTGGTAATACTAGTTAGGAAAATGAGTTGTTTTCACATACAACAGGAGCAAGTATATCTTGGGTTACTTCAGAATTATCAACTTTAGAAAATATACACTTTTCATTTTCCAATTTTTTCTAAGTTCATCAAATTCATAAACCTTTAAAAAGAAAACCAACCCCTGGGAGCATGCCCGTGCCTTCCCTTTCCCTTCACCTCCCACCCCCCAGGCACATTACCATTAGCTTCCTCAGTCCCAAGCTCCTATGGCCCTTCCCCTGCCTTTATAACTTGTTTCCTAAACCCATTTCTTCTAGGAATTACTTCTTCCACCTCTGTAATTTTATCAAATAAATGTTCTCTTGAAGAAGAAGAAAAGAAAACCAACCTGGAAAGATTAGTGTCAGTACACAATCACATTTGAAAACAACACTTTCATAGCAAACACAGAACAACACTAGCAATGGCAAAGTTCAATTTAAATGCACACAAAAATTCACTTTAAAATGCCTCTTTTGGATGTTATATAGAGGGGAAAAAATGACTTGATTCTGTACTATAACTCTTCTGACTAAATTTAGTGCATGAATCAAATTTATAAGAATATTTCTGGGTTTACAAAATCATAGGGTCACATGAATAACACAACCCATCTCTACCTAAGAGAATTATATTTTTACATAATTCACATAGTTGCATGTTAAATATAACCTGAATCATTTTCAGAGCAGCTCTGGCATAGAGAATGAATTTAAAGACATAATACCACAAAGAAATCAAAAGCAGTAAGAAAGGTGTGACCGTGGTCTTCCTGGATCATTCCTGCATACAAAAGGCCTGGGATGACTTCATGTACTTCAGGGGTAACTCTGCTAAAATAGCCATTCCTCCCATAGCCACCAGGTCAGTGGTTCCCAACCTTTCAGCAGACACTCTTCCTTATTAGTATTATTCTCACTTGGTTCCCTCGTTTGAAGAGATATTATCTTCTGATTTGTATTTAAGTTATTTTCTCATTCTTTTTGAAGATCAGGAGACATATAACTGACAATCAGGGTTTCTGACCAACATGCTATAATCACTATTAGCACACTGAGTTGAAGTGATTCTAGCTAAAATCTACATTCTGGGCAATCTGTACAACCTTATCAAGGGAAAAAAATGTATTTTCACTAAGCTTTTCTGAAATTTTAGTAATTGGTGACACCCTCCACCTCTCATAACTGCTTCCCCAGATTGGGAACCACTGCTTTAACAGTCGGGATAAGCATTTGCCACTGGTAGTGCAAAATCTGTGCTTTCAATATCAACAAATTAGTTAAGAAAGAATTCATACACATACTAAATGGGTACCTCTAGACATACTTTTGAAAGGAACCTGTCTTGGCCCACGCATAATACCTGGATTCCTTCCTTCGCTACGAAAAGGGCGGACTATGGGTTTAGGAAATTTTGTTCCTTCCAAAGCTTTGGCAGCAGCTGTGTGTTGGGCTTTTTTAATACTAGTTCCTTCAGCTTCCCAGTGCTGATCTCCAAGTGTTAGCTGTACTGTAAACACCTACAAATGAAAATTGTGAGCTCTCAATTCATGAAACCTGATGTTAATTGTAATGTCATTTGGACCTTGAACATTTTTTATGTCATGGTTTAAAAGGTCTGGTCATTATATATTGGTAATTTATCCCATAACCACCTTTTTTGTTTTTATAAACACAAAAAGATATACATAAAATCACTGGCTAGCAATGCATAGCACTCCATGAAAAAACTATGTTGAAAGATGGGGGTTAAGTACAGAGATTATAAAATGTTTTCTTAAATATTAAAATATTAGACACATTATTTGGGAGTCATCCAAATAGAAATTGTCTTCCAATTACTTCTCATGGAAGAAATTTAGCAAACTTGATTTAGACACATAACAGCATCTCATACAAATTAAGACAATATTTGTTTTGATGTTGTAATATGTTTGTGGACTCTTGCCTGAAAACACAACCCCCGTAGAAGAAAAACGTGAATAAATCTGGAAATGTCAGCCATGATCTAAAATACTGCCTTTCGCTTTCCTAAGATTGCACTATTCAGATGCTGCCTCCACTTTCAGAAAAAAATCAGATTCACAGCAAGCAAAAAAGGTTTCTGAACTCATTTCTAAGGAGGTATCCAAAACAGCCAATTTCCTTCTCAACAAATAGCAAGCCTCTTTTTTCCTTTTTTAAATATAAAGGTAACTCCACTCCACTCTTAAAATTAGGTTATATTAATGCTATCAATATTGAATTAATACTGTCAGAAAATGATGACCCATCAGAGAGCACTGTGATTTATTAGCTTTGGTGTGCACCTGAAGAATAACCTCGGAAGGTTGGTAAAATACACATGCCCAGAGATTTCAAATTAATAACACAAGGGAAAACTGAGTATGTCTAATTTTAATAAGCTCCCAAAGTGATCTTGATGCACTCCAAAGTATGAGGCTCACTACTTTGGAGCTTTTATTTTCCTGATTTTATCACTGAATACCACTTTATTTCATTTAAAATAATTTATATGAGAAATGTTGATTTCAGTATGTATAGGTCATTTCAGTTTGGTGCCTAAAAAGATGGGGCGACTTGCCTTCATAGGTGATTTTTCTTGTAGGTCTTAACTTCAGGATTCCCTCAGTGCACAGCTTCCACTAAAGGGGAAAAAATGAAAGATTCCTTCATCCCCCTTGAAACATGAGGGGCCTCCCGTATTTATGCTGCAGTTCACAAGGTTAGTTATTTAAGCACCAATAGCATGAACACAAACCCCTGGCTGGCCTGTGAAGTTTGAGCAGATGCCTGTAATGCTGTGCAAGCCCTGGGTCATGACTGTGATCCTTTCATGGAAAGACACTGAAGGGAAAAATGCTAAAAAACAAAATTAAGAGTTAATTCCATTAACAGTCTTGCCTTTCTCCAGGACCTTACTCATCCAGCGCTGTTGTCACTCTGTTGCTTTCTGTGTGGAGGGTTGGTGGTGAGTTAGAATTTTGATTTTGATAAAATTAAGCATACGCCAGACCTTTGACTTTTTAAATAGTCTAACAGTCATCTAGGAGAGAATAACCTTTCGTCTTTGAATGAATTGTAGGTTAAAAAAAAAAATGCAGTTATAGATTGAACACACAGCCAAATTACCTAAAGTACTAAAGTTCAAGTGACAAAGTACACATTTAAAAAAATACCAAAATAGTTAATCAAGGGAATCCCAAAGTTAAGGTCTGCAAAAAAAATCCTGTAGAAGAAACAGAACAGTTATAGAAAATGACTAAAGAGGCCTGCTGAAAGTAAAGAAACATTTCAAATTATGCTTTAGAATAATGTTAAAACTAGCTTCATGTGAGTAAAAAGTTTCTGTTTTTCTTAAATGCATAATTGTTTAATAATAATAGCTACCATTTCTCAAGCATTTACTAAATGCCAGGCATTATGCTTCTCACTTTATCATATATTCTCTCATTTAGTTTTTACAATACATCTACTTGGTAGGTATTATTATCCCCATTTTACAGATGAGGAAACCGAGGTTCAAAAATAGTAGTAAATTGCTCAAGGTCACACAGCTAGTAAGAAGCTAGGATTCAATCCAAGATCTGTCTGACTCCAAAGGCCATTTACCTAACTGCCTAGGCTATGGTGACTATTTATAATAGTGGTTGGTGTTACTTTTAGTCAAAAGAAAAGAGAAACTTGATATTACTTAAGGCTTCAGGTTTGCATGTCATGAAAAATGAGGTATATCAAGAGAGAAATAACTCATAAAGCTAGAATCAGAAACAGGAGGCTGAATTCCTTCTCTCTCACACTCTAACTTCTCATACTATATCCTCTCATACTACAGTAGCAACGGATAAAGCTAGATATGCAAACATTTAAGTTCCAAGATCTGTATTAGCATGAATATCAAACAAGCTTAAAAAACGGAATTCCTGAACAAATAGTAAACATTCAAATTACTGTCATCTTTCATTCTCTAAGATAAGGGAAATGACCAGGATAACTGACACCTGAGAGACAATCCAATACTCACTTTGAGACTGATTGCTACCTCTCATATTCAAACTTTTCACCTGATGGCTAACAAGTTGCAAAACTGATTTCCAGTTCACCCCTCTCCCTGCCCAGTCTAAGGTACACTTGTAAACAAGCCGGAAAGGAGCCAGAGGTAGGCTGCAGGCAGGAGGGCCAGAGCCTGGAAAACTCACAGGAAATCATTTGCAGGTGCCTGAGGATACACTAATTGGAGCTTTAAAAGCCAAATATCCTAAACAGAAGTATATCTTTTATTTGACCCATTCTACAAGGATGAAAAAACAAGTAATTTGCCAAAAATCTATACTTTTCACATCTCTTTAAGACAACCACAGCAGAAAATATGTATTTTGAATCACAGCACCACTTGTAACAGTATAAAAGACAGAAAACATTCCTGTTGGGTTATAGATGCACAAGCAGTATGAACAATATTTACCTTACAGTGAGCTGGACCTTGCTCACGCAAAAGCTTATACTCAGGCTGAATCTTGTTGAAACGGGCTAACTCATTCACAAGACACATTGGGGTTTTCTCTTTGGGGTGTGCCATGCTAGAAGGAACTGAAAAATAATGTAAGAGCATTGAAGTCATATATATAGACTGCTGCTCTCCTAAGGATATGGAAAAAAGAGGGAAAACAAACTAAAGGTCTAAGGATTTAGAGTGGCAGTGATGCAAAACTGCAAACCACACTGGGGGCACGTGCTAGAAGACAGCTGGGATCTTTTCTGAACCAGTTGAGGCCAGCTCACCTGGGAGAGGGTGTCTTCAAAAGAAAGAGAACAGAAGTCAGGGGAATAACTAAATCATGGCAGGCAAGCAAGATCTGAAATCAGATGAAGCACGGCTATCACAACCAACCAAGGGAGTAACAAGGTCTTCTGAGCACACACACTGGTTACAGCAACGGCTGTCAGCTGTATTCTGTTGGTTGTTTCACAAAACGCAACGTTCCAACACCATTTCTCAATGACTGTTTTCCACACACTTAACTTCTCATTCCTGGGCGTCCCCTAGTCTGATCTACAGAGGCTGCCATCCTCAGCCTCTGATCTCCAGAGGCTGCTTACCTATTTCTGAAAATTATATAAGGAAAATAAAATGTCCTTGGTGGGCAGGAGCTTTACAAAGTCAATAGAATGTGGCTATAAGACACATTAGAAGGCAATAAATCCCAGAGGACTGATATAGTCGGTGCCATTGCCTTTCAAGAGGGACTAAAATGGCAAGTGTGGGGAAAATTGAATCTCTAGGGATTATGACAAGAATGCTATCTGGTGAGCTGGTCCATTGAAATCTAGAGCCATGCAGCTCAGAGTGGGACAAGCTAACACTCTTAAGAACAGACTTACAAAGTAAAGAAAATGAGAGAATGAAATGCAAAGGAAATTGTAAGGTATAAGGGGTTGAAAGGCATTTGTTATAAGGTGACTCTGGCATGGAGACATCCATGCTGACACTCCATTTAATTGGTTTTGCCACTTTAGGGGAGTGGGAGGGAAAATACTGTTTTTTGGTGTTTTTTTATTCAGGTGTTTCAAGTATTTTCTAATCAATGAGCACATTTAGTTCATTTTTAGTTTCCTAATCAGATCTGAATGCTTCTAAACTTATTTCCTTTTTATAAATCTCTGCTTCATCGTTCAATCTCTAATTGGTCCTCACTATGATTTCTGATCTACCTCTGAAATCTTCAACTTAAACAAATGTATTCAAAATAAAAATTAAAAAATGCCAATGTGCTCTTCTGTTTGCCAATAAAGCTGACTGACCCCTTGCTTGGGATAAAATCTTACAGACATACAAAAAGGGGGTTTAACCTACAAGAGTTCTTTGTCAGTTCTGGGAAATAATTTTAAAAGCAGAATTTTCCCATATACAATGACTATCCAAAGTGGAATTTACTGTTCAATTCCCTCTGCCAGCCACCACTTTATAACAGACTAGGCTTTATAGTTTAGTTTTCAATTCTCTTTTTTACACTTTGAAATGGTCTGTCAACCAAGGCCTCCATCAACCCAATATACAACCAAGTGTTTTATATCTGGGATAAAGAAGCTTGGGCAGTAATATATTCTTCTGCTTCTTGAAGGTAAGTGTGAGAGCTTCCTACCTCTGCAATCTACTTATCAGATCAAAAAACAGGCTGAGAACACACTTGAAACAGAAGACACTTGGATTCATACGCTTACCTGCAGCTGCACTGGTGGATGTAATAGATGCAGAGGGTAAAGCAGAGTTTTGAATAGGTCTACCTGCATTTTCAGAGGGCAGAGAGCTAGTAGTAGAAGGAATACTCATCAAAGGCTGTGAGAGAAGAGACTGGTTCTTGTTCAGTATTTGGCTCCCTGAGAGAGCAGCAGATGGGTTCTGAACTTGCACTTGAACTTGAGACATGGTCACTTTCAACAAAAGTGAACAACTGCAGGTAAACAGCTTTCAGTGCAGGTTAATTCAGTGCTATGAAGTCTAAAGTTCTACCTAAAAGTTGTAAGGAAAAGAAAATAAAAAGGTAAATTATAGAGGAGATATGTAACTGCCGATATTCAGTCAAAAATGCTGTCACCTTCTCAAGTATGAAAATAGCCCCATTTAGCATGTAGCTATGTTGATGTATTAGAACTGTTTCTCCTTAGTATACAATAAAGTTCCTGACTTTACAGTGTTTTTAAATTACTTACAATACCCATATGCTCTGCATGTTGATTTTATGAAGAAAATCAGTAGGGTATAATAATATTTATTGGTGACTATTAAGAATTATAAATTGCAGCTTATATTAAAAAATATTAAAAATTTAAAATATGGAGAGGTTTTTTTTCATAGTGTATGGAGTATGGTAAAGGTTTCTGGCCTCAAAATTCTAGGAAGCTGAAAGCAAAGTGGATTATAACACGGTCAATAGGTGAATATAAACACCACTTCCATTTAAGAGCCACGTACTCAGATTGACATTTTTAAAGCTTTCCTTTAAGTTGACTGAAGAAAGAGAAGAATTTCTCACTTCTGCTGTTTCTTTTTATGATGATAAAAGATTAATTTGTTTTCCTAAGACGTTTGTTTTGAGATAGTCTCAGTTATGGACCCCAAAGAAAACTGTTACATCCACATCAGTGCTTGATCCTAAGAAATCTGAATAGCAAAGAATATTCTACAGATTTATACAACTAAAAGCAAAAATGGAGAAGAGGAAGAAGAGAGAACAGATTTCAGACTGGCGATTTTAATGCGGTGGCTGGTGGGGTAGAGCCTAGGGAAGCAGAAGAGATTGTTTACTGTATCTTGTAAGCTCCAAAGGCATTCTTTCTAAATACATTTTGATTTCTCCACAAGTCAAAAATTAGGACAGTTCTGCTTATTTTCATGACCATCATCCAAAAAGCTGAAAATACTGAAGGCAAAAGTACTCAAAAAATAACCAGTAGCACAAAGAACAGAAAAATCCAACTAAAGCAGAAACCAACAAACAAACAATTGAGAAGTTTTATTACAGAGTAATTGTTCATCACTTTAATTTTTTTTAAAGTCTCAAAAAATGATTTTTAATGAAAGCTGGACCTCTAGAAAGAGATGAATGACCAGAACAATTAAGTTACTTGAGGAGTCCTGGCACATTCTCTCTTGCTGAGAGCAAAGAAGACTGCACAACTCAACCAAACCAAACCCAAAATCTCAGCTGAAATATGACTTTGGATCATAGAGGCATTGACATTACCCTACTCAACAAAATTGCACAATATTGCTGTTGTTCCTTGTTTACTTTTGGAATCAGAACGAAATAGTTCCACTGAGGATCTAGATAATGATGTTAGGAGACAAGCTGCCAGTGTCAAGAAACAAGTCCAGAACCATTTAAAGCCAGCTATGTATGACCTTGGTTCCATTGTTTTTATTTCCTTCAGCTGCCAAAATACAATATTTCTCTCTCGATCTTCTTCCTCCCTCTCTATTCACCTCCTTCCTCTACCTCTCTTTCTAAACTCTGTATTGAGGGCATTTTTCTACACACACACAAAAAAAGTCATTTATAGTATACTCACAACTTCAGGACACCACCCACAGGTCACAGGCCAAAAAGTAGCCAAAAGCAAGTGTTTGCTTCAGGGTCTACCCATTCCCCAGAAGCAGCAACCCAACTCTGCTCTGGGCAGCTCTGAGAGTCTGAGACTCATGAATGAATGAATGAATGAAATTTAGAAAGGGAGGGGCCCAAAGGGATCTTTTCTGGCTAATGCTGTCTACAGCAGGCCCACTGCCAGCATTTTCATCACAGACAAAAATATATAGGTTTTCTAGGAGTTGAGAAAGGGAACAAACAGGCTTTTAAATAAGACTGTCACAAAAATGTTAACCTCAAGTTCACCTGAAGTTATGTCTTTATAACAATTGGTTGAAACAAGTAGTTCAAAACATAATAAAAAAATTTTAAACTCTCCTAATAAGGCTGTGCACTTTACAAATTTTAATTTCCAACAACATGACCGATACTAAAATCCAACAAACAGTACTCATTTGCTAGTAAATTTTTAGTCATTTGCTAATTTAACACTTTTATGTGTCTTTAGGCTTGAAAAGGGAATCTAAAGCAGTGGTTCTAACGAGGGGGTAAGTTTGTTCCCTAAAGACACGTGACAATATCTGGAGACATTATTTGGTTGTAACAACTGGAGGACGCAGGGACCTACTGGTATCTAGTGGGTAGAGGGGGCAAGGATGTTGTTTCAAGTACACATACACTAACCCACAAAATAAAACCTTACTAATGTAACACGCAGCTTATATATTTTCTTACACAGAAAAAGAAAATCCCCTCTTCATCTCAAAGGCTCTAAAAAACTAGATGCTAATATTTTACCCAAACAGATGCTCCTCGCCCAAAGAGAAGCCAGGCAACTATCATAGTTATAAATGGGAGGAAACATATTGTTTACCCACATAATTCAAAGAACAAATAAAGCTTTTGACTACTACCCTTTATATAGCTCACAGCAGCCCTTCAGGAGAATCATGGAATTTTGGATATTACTTCTGTATAAATTTAGAACTTAGTGCTGAACAGTACTCTGTCCTGAAGATTAAATCCTTAACTGAAATCTTGTTTTTTCTTTTTAACCCATTTTTAAGGATTGTTTTCTACTAGATAAATTAGGGACTCAAGAGAGATTAAAATACTGTTAGAGTCTTCTTATAGAAGAACAGTGTTTTACATACAGTAAAATTAGGTTGAAAAGTTTGAAACACAAAGACTCCTCAGTTTTTCCCAGCACTGAAACCACCTTTGACTGTTAAGCCTATGTTGTGCTGCCATTTCCCTGCCTCCTGTCTCCAGCACAGATGAGAGCCTTGGTCTTTTCCTATTTGAAGAGTTTTAGACACCAACTCAGGAAAACACATTCATCTTATTCTCAAATCCAAAACTTATGAAGCACATATCAGCACCATAACCACAAAGAGGGGTGATAAACCAGAATTACAGGTAACTCTTTTCAAAAGACTCCTAATTCCAAGCCTCCCCTCCCCAGGCCTTTCCTCTGCCCAAACCTTCCTGGGTCCTTACTTTGGCTTGGTGACACAAAAAATCTCATAAAAACAGTCTCACCTTGGCTGGCAGCTTCCATTTTACAAGTGCCAAGTACTTTTTAATGGGTTGTGGGAAGAAGAATATGGGCACATAAACTCTACAATAGCATTTTTAAAAATTATACATGATGTGCTAAAAAGTGATCAGACACAAAATGCATATTCTTCACTAAGCAGTGAATCTACCAAGACTAGGCCATGCTTAGTACAGTCTGAATGACTTGATGATTTGTTTAATACACAAGGCAGATCCTTCTAGAAATAGTTTATAGAACTATCTGCAATAACGTTTAGTCTTATTCACTCTCAACTAACATTATTAAATCACTGTAGTATGACATAACTACTTCAACAAATATAGAAAAACATCATTTTTAATACCTAATTTTTAACTGAATTAACTCATGACTTATAACGACATATCTGTATTTTTGTATAATCAACACATCATTTGCCATTCCAGTAAGTGATGTCTCCAAACAAGACGTGTTAAAAAAAAAAAAAAAAGTCATCCCAATTCTAGACAAGATTTTAAGATAGCCACATACATTTCACTAAATATCTCCCCATCAAAGTCCTTTATTAAATCTTGTGTAGTATGGGGACACAGACACAAAGTACTCCAGTTCCTTGCCATGATAAAGCACTTGCAGTATCAACAGCAACTTTAGGATATATTCATTCAATATTCAACAGAAATTTATTAAGAATCTACTACATGTACACTCATATGGCAGAATATACATTCTTCAGTGACAGAATCAATTTGTTAAAGTTTTCTTCAAAGACAGAAGAGATTTTTAAGCAACCAATTGTAAATCCATCCATCTGTTCTCTTTAATTTTTGAGAGGCGCCATTCTCAGAGAAACTTTGTCACCACCACGGAAAAAGTTAAGGAAGAAATCACTTTTCCTACAATAACCTTGAAATACACCTAAAATACCTTTCGATCTAACAGTTATTTGCAAGATACTTTTCTGACACATCTTTCTAGTTACAATGTGGTTGTATGTTTTCTGCAAGTAAACTCACGCCCCAACTTCACCCGCCATCAGCACCTACCATCCCCTGCCCCCTAGGAAACAGCAATTCATTGATTCCAGTAATTACCCAAACCCCTGTAGACAAGGCACCCACAATTATAGAAACATGGAAATCACTATCAATGTACAAAATAATTTCCAAAAAGACAACATCAAGCAAATAATGTCCAATAGCAGGCCCATATGTCAAATCACAATACTAAAAGGTTTCTTTAAAAGAAATATGACCAAATTACTTAAAAGAGAGGGAAAAAAGACCATCATGCAGTTGGTGCTCAAGAGGAAGACAGGAAAAGTAACCCTGACAAGACACAATCACTTATAAAACAATAAAATCAGCCAAATATAATGCCTGGAAATAACCCAGGCTATTCAAGACCTCTGCATCCAATATAAGTGACTGAATGTGGCCCCTGTCTCACAGTTGGCCCAATGCCAACTGGGCAAGGGAAGATTTTCTTTCCACACAAATGTAACCATTGGGTGGTCCATTTAAAGAAATACTTCCTAAAAAATAATTCACTATTAATTGTTCATCCTAGAAAAACCATCACACCATACTTTTTACTAAAGTGGAAAAAAAAAAAAAATTACCTCTGCAGGCTAACAAGCTGCAAATCTTAACTTTCTTTTCTAGCTCTGAAACTTTATCATGCTCCCCTCTTCCCTTCCCTAGAGAAATCCTTAAAAATAACTAAATTCAAACACGTTATTTTTATAAACTGGAAGTGTTTTTAAAATCTAAACTTATAAAAACACAGAAAAATGTTTTAAACCAACCAAAATGAGTATCTATTTATAATATGCTAGAGACTTTTTAAAAATATGTATCTTTATTGATTTCAGAGAGACAAAGGGAGAGGGAGAAAGAGAGATAGAAACATCAATGATGAGAGAGTGATCACTGATCGGCTGTCCCCTGCATGCCCCCAACTGGGAATTGAACCTGCAACCCAGGCCTGTGCCCTGACCAGGAATTGAACCGCGATCTCCTGGATCCTAGGTCCATGCTCAGTCGCGGAGCCACGCCCAGCCAGGCAATGCTACAGTATTACCTTGTGACATAGTCTTAAATAAAGGGCTTGGTTCACATAACAGTTAACTGGCTTTTTCTTTCAGAAAAGGGAAACTGTAGTGTGTTAACCATGTGCCATCTACCTAGAAACATGACTGCACTGACCATCATCTTCATGCAAAACAGATCAGTGCCAAGACCCAGTTTCTGAGAAACCAGCCTTGCTGCTGAGTAGCAACCAACAATTTTAAATTAAATCAGACTGAGTTTCTGAGTTGTGGCTTTCAGTTTTATTCCCAACTCAGATAGCAACTACACATCCAACTCTTGGCAAGTCACATCCGGTGCCTCAGTTTCCTAAATCACTTGGTAATGGGGTATTTGACAAAACCTCAGTCCCAGCAATCAGAGCACTAAAACCCTGAAGGAATCCTGAGGCGAGGTAAGTTATTCAGTTCTTTGAAAAGAAAAGCATTATACAAATTCAATGTCATGAATGTAAATCCATCCATTGAGCTTTGTACAACTTCTCTAATTTCCTGATGCTTCAATTTCCTCATTCCAAAGGAAGTTGGATTAATTTGTCCACTAACTGCCACCTCAGAAATATGATATGATGATGTGCTTTCAGTTCTTAGAGGAAAAGTGCTAAAATGAGGGAAAGTGCTAAAAAACACAAAGCAATGTCAATACATGTGGTGTATTTTGCAGATAGAACACTAAAATCCTAGGAGTACTCATAAAACTTTCTTGGTCTAGATAACCGAAAGCAGCCAGTGGTAAGCAAAACTTGAATCCTAACCCTATCTCAGGACAGAAAACAGGTTTGAAAAACAAGTTTAATATAAACAATCTGAGAAATCAAAGGCAAACTACAAAAGTTTCTATAAACAAGATGCTTATTGATCGAGTAATGTTAATGACAACTTCAACAGTGAATTTTCACCTCTATATTTAAAGTATATGGCAGTGCTGGCTAGAGGGTTTTACATTCTTGCCAACGATTTCCCTGCATTTAATCACTTTTTAATTAAATCTCAAGAGTAAAAAGAAATTCAAACTGTATAAAATCTCTTCTGTTTCTCTAATATTATAGCCAGAAGTAAAAGTCGTTTTCCATACTAATCATTGAAAAATTTAAAAATATTATGAGTTATGAACAGGCCTGAAATTATACAGCCAAATTATGTGTACCTTAAAAAGAGGAGCTCCAGGAACAATGTTGTTGTGGTTCAGGTCTGAGAGGTTACGTGGTTAGAAAACTCCTGGAAAATAAGAAATAATAATTTACTAGAGGATATCTTTTTCTGAAAAATGAATATATATATTGCTAAAGTTTTGGGGAAACCTAAAATTTACAAGTAGGGAAGTTTCCAAAAACATGATCCCCTGGCTTGAAGCTACACACTCTAGAGTCTAAAACAGGCACAACTGCAGAGACATGAACATAGGAGACAGTAGGAATTCCTTTTCAGTCTCAATTACTTTCTGATAAGAGAGCTGTGAATACCTAAGATTTACTTTTTAAAGAAGGAACTGGACATCATATACTCCCTCATCACAAAAGCCTGATTTTTAAACTGTTTAACTACTGGCTAAATACATTATTTACAAATGCCCGCCCTTACCATGTGCTTGTTGATGCAAATACAATTTAGACATGAAATTTTACAAAACGGCACTTTGCACATAAATATTCTTACTTTAAATCACAAAATACGAAAAAGCACATTACCTCTAGTAAACCCAAATCATAACCCTTCTTTAGAACTGGATTTCAAGTGACATATGAGTTTAATAATTCTCAAACTTTCAGATCTGCTTTATCTAGAGGTCCCCCCCCCTTTAAATGGCAGTAGTCAGTAGCAAATAGAATTCCTTACCTTGAGATGCTTTTTGCATTTTTACAACATAATTTTGCTCATTTCAATTGCTCACTGCTACTGTGACTTAATAAATAAAATGCAGCTTTTTATTGTCCAAATGATTTTATAAATAAAATCAAGTGATCTCATTTGCTCTACAATATTTTAACAACTCAAGGTCTTCTTTTTGTAAACAGTGTACTATACTAACAACTTTCCAATCTAGAACCCTTTGTTCTATAACACCCATTCAAAAGATTAGCATGAATGGAAACTGAAAAAGGCCTCTGAGCAGCCCAGATGTCTAAGCCCACCCACCTAATAGAGCCCATATCTTTTACCAATGGGGCTTTCCTCTATTCAAACCCATCTCTGTTGAACAAGTATGGCAGATTTGGTTATTGAGGTTTCTAGCCCAAAACAGAAGTTAAATAATTAGATTAAAAAAAAAAAGGAGCTGCTAAAGTCAGACATAACGAAAATAGTAAGAAACAACGACCAACAACTCAAAGCAAAGTGAAAAGGAGGGGTGGGGGGAAATATAGCAGTCTGCAACCATTTGGATTTCAAACATCTTTATACAACACAAGTGATAGCTGGATTCATATACACATTCACACTTCCATAAGTAAATATTTTTTTAAATCCTCCAACCATTTTCAAATGACAATCCAAAGCCGTATTATTACCAATATGTGTATATAGCACTCCAATCAGCAGTAGAGAAGAAAGACTGTGGGTTAAACCCAATTGCCCTTTTCTTTCCCACTCAAAAAAAAAATACTAGAATCCAAGAGAGTAAATTAAATTCATTGCTTTATCCATTCAATAAATAATTAACCTACTATTTGCAGGCATTATTCTAGACATTGGGGAGAGAAGAGCACACAAATGAGATACAGCCTCTGTCCTCGTGGACTTCACATTTGTATAGGAATAACCTTGAACCCAACACCAATTTAAATAAATAATTCACAGTGGCATTTTAATTAGCAGTAACAAATCATTTATAATACACATCACCTCATAACTAAAAAAGACACAAGAGAACATAAAAGACCTCTTGGCTGCAAAATGTTGATTTAGGATAAGGGCAAACCAGCTAGCACACAGCTGTTTGGGTAAGGTGGAGAAAGCTCTTGGCTGGGGATCTAAGTTTGGGTCACAACTTGGGAGCTCAGATGAAAAACCCTGACCAAGTTACTCCTGCAGGCTTCAACCTTTTAATGTATTAAATGGGGTTACTTCCACCAATTTCATGATTAATAAAATAATCATAGGAATCTTGAGTAACTCGTAATGTAGACAAATGCTTAGAAACTGTGACATGCCATATCAAAGTTAGCTGTTGAACATCACTTTCTTAGGGTATACAGTAACTGATATTATAAAAAGGATATTAATAAATCACATTCAAAAGACACTATTTTAAAAAGAAAAACTATAGCAAAGTTAAGACTCATCCTTCCAAAAAGAGTATTTTTTACTTTATTCTTTTTTAATGTTTGGCACTTAAATTGATAAATTCTCAGTTAACAGGGAAATTAGTACCTAGAAGTAGTCATACTCTAAATGTTCCAGACTGTAAAGGTTCACTCTTCTACAAACCAGAAGGAAACATATTTACCTCACTATATTTGACTGTCATCTAGGTAAAGGGTCATGGAGCCTTAATGAGCAGGTTGGTTAAATTATGCAACAAACATAAGCATCCAAGCATAATCAGATGAATTATTACATATAAATTATCTTTCTTTCTGACAGAGGAAAGGACTGCCACCATTTCGTACAAAATCACAATGGCACTAACAGACAATGACCTTATTTCTATCAGAGTGGAATCTGCAAAGGTAAAAAATACATGCCTCAGTTCATTTTAATCTATAGAAAGCATGAACTTCAAAAAAGCAAAAACATCGCACAGCCAGGCATGGCTCAGAGGTTGAGCGTCGACCTAGGATCCAGGAGATCGGGGTTCGATTCCCGGTCAGGGCACATGCCCAGGGTTGCGGGCTGCAGCCGATCAATGACTCTGTAATCATTGATATTTCTATCTCTCTCTCCCTGAAATCAATAAAGATATATATATATTAAAAAAAAAGCAAAAACGTGAATCAGACTGACTAGATCATAAAGCTCATGCCTGAGGAGAGCCATTAGAGTAACAATTTAAGTAGTAGTATCTGCTCACTTCATCCCCAGAAAAGACACATTTCCACCTTTTCATGATTAATGAGACACACCTATATCATTACAGACTACATAGTTGCCTGAGTTAAGGTTAAACACAGAATGGAAACTCATACACCACCTCACTAAAACCCCAATCCAAAGGCAGATTTCATTTCATTGATCTAACCTTTTAAGGCTAGCCATAAGAAGTTACTACTACCTGGGTGGACAACCAAAGAGGCTTCTTATTCAGAAGACCACCGATTCAAAGAAATTAAAAAAGAAACTGTTCAGGACGCAGTTCAATACCAAACAGAATATTACACTAAATATTCCTCACACCATTAGCTAGGAAATGGATGTTAGAAATGGCTGGGGATAAATGTAAGTCACGAAACCATAAAAATCCTGGAAGAAAACATAGGCAGTAAAGTCACAGACATCCCACGTAGTGGACTTTTCACTAATACATTTCCTAGGGCAAGAGAAACAAAAGGAAAAATAAACATATGGGACTACATCAAACTAAAAAGCTTCTGCAAAGCAAAAGAAAACAGCCTCAAAATATAAAGGAACCCCACGGTCTGGAAAAATATATTTGCCAAGGATGTATCTGATAAGGGGCTAATTTCCGAAGTGTACAAAGAACTCATAGTACTCAGCAAGAGAAAGACAAACAACTCAATTAAGAAATGGGCAAAGGACTTAAATAGACACTTCTCCAAAGAGGACATACAGATGGCCAAGAGACACATGAGAAAATGCTCAACGTCGCTAATCATCAGAGAGATGCAAATTAAAACCACAATGAGGTATCACTTCACACCTGTCAGAATGGCTGCCATCAACAAATCAACAAACGACATGTACTGGCGAGGGTGTGGAGAAAGGGGAACCCTGGTACACTGCTGGTGGGAATGCAGACTGGTGCAACCACTATGGAAAACAGTATGGAAGTTCCTCAAAAAATTAGAAATGGAGGTGCCATTTGACCCAGTGATTCCACTCCTAGGAATGTATCCTAAGAATCCTGAAACATTCATCAGAAAGAAAAGAAATGGCTGGGGAGCAAAGAGAGCAACAACTTCCTAACCCTATAAAGTTAACTTCCAATTAATTCACTTCCAATTAAGCAGAATATTATAATTCTAAAGAAATAAATTTTCTTAGCAACAACCTTGTGTATAGTTAATAAATCATTTTTAACAAACTTCATAAAGGATTATAGCAGTAATTTACAGGAAAACCTCCTTTAACACAAAGGTTACTGAAACATCCTCCTCCCCATTTACTTCTAAGTACTCCCCCAAACCTTTGAATCAGCTTAAAAGTTATAAGTTTAATTTGACTGCAGCACTTTATCACAACAAACAAAAATAAACTGTAAATCTTCAAACTATTTCAAGGGAATGACAAATATGTTTCATTTTAAAAACTGAACATTACTAAACCACACTTTTTTTTCCCCAAGTTGTTCTAAAGTCCTAGTGAACAAAATCCTTCCTAGCTGTGGTAGGTGTGTGGGTGGGTGAGTGGGGAAATAAATTATCCTAAGCAAAAAGCACCTGAACATATTTAGAGATTAAAGTATGGTTCAGTGGAAAGAGTTCAGGACCCAGCCCCAGTTATCTGTCCTCCTAGACAGACCTCAGTATCCTCAGCTATCATGACCCTTTCTCTGCAAAGACATTTGCAAGTATCAGAAATACAGCATAACCTTAATTAAAAACAAACAAAATAACCTATATAATTTTATTAACCAATGTCACCTCAATAAATTCAATTAAAAAAAAAGAAAAAGAAACACAACATAGTCTGCTTCAACCCTTGGCACAAACGAAGAGCTCAATGAACAGCAGCTTTTATATTAGATAAATTCAATCTGACCTTTCAGATTCCTTTCCTGCATCAAAATAACCTTCACCCGGTAATCCTAACCTGGCACGTGGTAAGAAATCACTCAATAAATAGTAGCAAATATTATTATCCAGCAAATTCACCAATCCTGTGCTTAGTTGCATGTACATCTATATAAACTTACAGGTACACACCACTTGTAAAATAACACATTAAATGGGAAGAGAGAACATGCTGACTAAAATCAACCTACTCACTGGGCAACCAGTTCTAAAAGCTACATCAAAGAGGGAGACAATCTGGTTTAAGGAAAAGACCCAAGGGCACTTAAATAGATTTTCTTAAGAGTTTGTAGTCTGGTAGACATGACA